TTTCAGGGCAGGTGGTAGTCTTTTTAAATTTATTCACAAACAATTAACTGCACAAATACTGTCAGCTGCCTATTCTAAGACAGTAGTCTTTTTATTGAAACACAAATAAACTTTTCTGTAATATTTTATGGAATATAAAGAGACTATAATTGTTTGACTTGTTTAACCTTGGCACTGTTAGTTTTTATTAATAAAACGCGCATGGGCATTTTTAACAAGCTCTGTGGTTTTTCTAATTTTAGGATTGTTCTAGAACATATCACTCCTCCTCATCACAAGACCTAGAACTGACTCTCTCAGAATACCACATCTGCACTACAGAGGGCTCAAATTCTTTAATTTAATTTCTTCTCATAAGTCTTGATATCATACGATGCGAAGAGCAATATCATACACTGTGTTCTCTCTTCTTTCATGTCTCCTTGTTTCAGTCCTGTTGCTCTTCAGGCTGTCGGGCCAGTCTTTGCACTCTAGTCCAGCTCTTCTGTTCAAAATCCCACATTTACTATCCTAACTTTTCATCCGATGTTCCCCAGTCCTCGTTTTCTGTCATGCATTCCCGCATCCTCAGAACAGCTCTTCCTGATGCCTTCTGTGCACTTCCACCTTAAACCTTTTTGATACATCACGCTCTCTGCTCTGACCTGGAAGCACAGGTTACTGAAATGGCTCAGTCACCCTGCAGGACACTGCCCGAAATCAGGGTTGGTTACTTGGTTACACAAAGGGAGTCACTCTTGCAAAGGCAAGATAACTGCTCTTGTGATAAGAGCTCCTCCACATGCTTAGACCCTCACAGCTGACCCTGCATTAAGCAGGAATTGAACTAGGAGTCATCTGAGGTGCCTGCCAGCCTGAGTTATCATATGGTCCCTTAAGGAAAGGAAGTTACAGAATACCATGCATCAGTCTCCTGGGCAGTCTCACAAATGGATCATCTGGTTTGCCTGCATCCTGGGGACTCAGCAGAAAAAGAATGGAAGTTCAGCTGATATTCAGAAGCTCTGAGATGTTAGTAGGCTCCTATGAAGAAACAAGATGGTTAGCTGAGCAGGGAGGAGGCTGCCTTTAGGATGGGGTTTCTAAGCAGAAATGCAGGTGATGCTGTGAGCAAGATGAAGGGCAATGGATGCACACAGGCATTTTCTGCTTGCAGCAGTTACTACAGTAGTCCTCATCTGATGTTACGGTGCTGCTCATCTGGCCACATCTGCCTCTCAGCAAAAATTAAGAGAGCAGCTGTCTCCAGAGAGACATACAAAGTATGCCAAGACCAATAAGAGAAACGTGAACCAGAGAAAATTGAGATTGTTGATTAACGTCTTTGTGGTCATAAAGGCAGAATGCTCTGATGTGGTAGAGAATAAAGAAGAGAGATTGGTGTTAGCTGAAAATCACCAGTGCTCTTCTGTGTTCTGCTAACACCTGTTGGTTTTGTGTTTGGATGTTTCAATCAGGCCAGAATCCAAACCTAGGCTCAAGGATTTGATTTTCTTTGTACATTCATTGTGGATGCATTGTGGTACATCACTGTAAATATTGCAATCATACCAGTCCTGACAGAACAGAAGGTACAATTTTTGCTTTGTAGCAGGTTGAATGATAGCAAAGATGGAATCTTTGGCAAGGGTTGTGTTCTTTTGTCATGGGAATGTTAGAGAGTTCACAAAAAAACAAAGAAAATGTAAGCAAATACTTAAAGCTTAACTCTTAAAAAGAACTGCAACCCCAGTAATTTATTCTAGGTGAAGTAAATCTCTATATTTCTGATGCTGATTTTTAATGAACCTTGAGATTGCAAGTAAATGCCTGGAGAATGAAAGAATTCCAGAATTCCATTTTTCAAAAGTGATGTGAATATGACCTCTGTGAATATCGTCTACAGGGCCTGAGATCAGCAGCGAGCATGTTACAAAAAGTGTTGAAGGATTCAGTTGAAACTCAATCAAAAGGTTGGAAGATTAACTGTAAAATGGACAAACTGCAGAATAGGTCTTAACAAATGAATGTGGTATGATAGTGCAGCTGATTTTAGGAAGGAAACAATGGATATATTTCAATATCATTAAGTACCTCCAGTTTTTTTTAAGCACCTCCAGCTTTACCATATCGATACACTGTGTGTTAAGGGGTTAAAAATTGTTCACTGCTGAATCGAAGGTTTTTGTGGGATTATCACTGGCTGAGTAGTTGCATCAAGTAACGCTGAACTACTGCTTAAGGTTTTCTTCAGTAACGTGGAAAGAAATATTTTAAAAAGTAAGTGATATGATTAGAAAAGAATGAAGAGGACAGATAAATGCAGATTGCTTGGCAAGCAAGGTCGTGGCCAAAGTGCTTTGTGCAAACCACATCTTTTGAACAAAGAATTCAAGGTAACAGTACAGAAGATAAGATTATGTGCTGAAAACGTGGGATCCACAGAATGATCTGGTGCCACAGTAGATGGGAATTGCATATAAGTCTCCTACGCAGTGTTTTAAGGAATTAGCTAATCTGATATTTGTGCTTAGAACTAATCATTAATCATAGAATCACAAGGTTGGAAATGACCTATAAGATCATCTAGTCCAACCGTCTCCTCATCACCATTGCCACCACAAGCACTAAGCCATATCATGCAGCTCCTCATCCAGACGCCTCTTGAACGCTGCCAGGGACGGCGACTCCACCACCTCCCTGGGCAGCCATTCCAGTGCCTGACCACTCAGAGAGTGTAATTGTAAGGTGATTTTACACCTGGACACATAACAGCAGGACCAGCATTGAGGAACTGTGTTCTTGTTGGCCTCGCCGTTTAAAAAGATTGTTGGAACAATTGGAAAAGACTGTGAAAAGATCATTTCCTCGTTACTTGAAATCAAAGGTCAGAGTCTTCTTGTATGAGATTTTAGGAACTCTCGGTTTGTGGGAAAGAAACACAAGAAGTGTCTGGGTTTCTGTCAGATCAGATCAGATAAAATGACATCGTTGTAAGGGGTTCATCAATGTGAGAGAAAAGCAACACAAGAATTAGGGACTGGAATTCAAAATCAGCTTGAAATCAGCTATCTAATTGGTAAAGGTGGTAAGAACCCTCTGACACGTGATGAAATTGGAATGATAAAATGCTCATTTTGGTAAGAGTAGGACTGACACATGAGCACACTGATGAAGCACGTTACCCCTAAGCATCTTCAAAATTCAGTTCTTTCTCATTTTAGAGCAGGTGAGAGATGTAGGAACCCAATCTCTGCATGTGGTGCCCGAGCAGTGCTTGCTTTAACAAGGCCTTGGGCCTTCATCAACAAAAATACAATTCAGAAATCATCAGCTGTTCCCACTCTGGTATCAAAAAAATAAATTTGAAGAAATGAAAAGCGAACTTTGTCCAAAGTTGTTCAGATGTTTAAATTGAGGAGAAAAAAATACAGATATTCTTTCATACTTATTTTTTATCTTCTATTAAACAACATAATCTTGTTTGTGATTGAATGCTTTTGTCTGAAAGTGGGGAAGCTTAGGAAGGGGCTGTGCATGCAAAGCATGTGATGTTTTTTGCAGACATGCAAGTTGTGATTGTTTTCCATTCATTTACTGCGAGTAGCACATAGACACTTTTATTTGCTGCAGGTTGGTCAGTATCAGTCTTTTATTACTTGAATGAAAGAGGTGAAAAACAGTTGCATAAAATGATGAGGTGAAATTCCTGAGGGCAATTGCAGTGACACTGTGGTCCTTGTGTGAGACTGTTAAGCAAAGACTTTATATTATATACAGTACTTAGGAGCTGTGGAAGCTGGAAAGCAAACGTTTTAATTTGCTGATAGTCATAGCAAAGAGCCTCCTTTAAGCATTGAAGAGCTTGTACTGATATTTTTCTTCCCTGTTAATATTTGGTTGTGACTTTCAGTATTAGACTTAATGCTTCAACTACTGGATCAGCAGTTATACGAATATTTGTCAGTGGATCCAGTAGGAAGATGCATCTCATCGTCAAAGGAGGTTGTAGCTGGATATTGGGAAAAGTATCCTCTTGGAAGGAGTGGTGAGGCAGTGGCACAGGCTGCCCAGGGAGGTGGTGCAGTCACTGTTCCTGGTGGTGTTCAAGGAACGTTTGGATGTTGTGTTGAGGGATATGGTTTAGTGAGAACTATTGGTGATACGTGGATGGTTGGATTGGATGATCTTATAGGTCTTTTCCAACCTTGGTGTTTTCTGTCATTCTGTGATCTGAGAGGTCTTTTCCAACCTTAATGGTTCAAAGTTACTTCTGTGTTTGTCTGCTCTGCATTGACCTTCAGTATGAGATTTAATACCTTTAAGAGAAAAGTCTGGAAACTGAAAGTTAATGGATATTTTAAAAAATTGGATATAGATGAAATAATGCAGTTGGTTAACATTAGTTCCATGCCATGTTATTACCTGCCTTTTTCCCTGACTGGTTTCTCCGTTGCACAGCTGACAGGAAAAATGATGGCCCATCCCTCTGCTCTGATGACATGGCCCTGCTGCCTTCTCTTTCTAGTGTCTCAGTAATCTGCATCCAGTTAAACTTGGGAATCTCTTTTTCTTATATGGTATTGTTTGAAATGCACTGCTTCAGTGTCTTGGTCAAAGAAAGGTTTGTGAAGTCTGACAGGCTTTTTTCATTTGTACCGGTTGGTGAACCAATTATCTCTAATATTGTGACTGAATGTACGTGTATTTTTTGTATGTGTGTATGTGAACTTGTGTGCATATACGTATGTGTACATATATATAAAAGGAATTAGAGACTTGGAATAGGAGTGCTTAGAACATTGTTAAGTGAGGCCAGTTCATCTAAGATGAACATACTGTACATACACAGCATGTCTGTGGGAGGGCTGGACCTCTCAAAGTTTAGACTCCTTTGATGTTTTAGCTTAATGTTTTCATTTTTCCAGATTATTCCAGGTAACCCACAGCTCATTGCTTTACATGGCAGTTCTTTTTTGGGGAGAAGAACAGAACACAAAAACCCCCACAACCAACCAACCAACCAACCAAAAAAGCGTTTTTATTGTTAGAAAGAAATCACAGATGCTAGGTATTAGAAAAGCTACAGGCCGCTTTAAAGTTCTTCTCTTGCAGTTATTGATTTGTCAACTGAAGTCAGACTCAGCTGGCTGATACACAAAGCAATGCATTGGCATGCAGATAAATAAAGGCTGTCCCTTTACAGTTTAAACATCCTGTACAAGGCAGATTGAGAAGGGTATCTCAGAGTATTTCAAGCTACTTATTTTTCTAGCTATTGCTTCTACAATATCCAGTATTCAGTATTGTACATCAGTTATTTATTAGAGTTTGAAAAATGAGGAAAAACAACATTTGATCCCATACTTCCTTTTCTTGGAAAGCACACCTGCTTGGGTTAGAAGACACATGTTTTGTACAAGGATTTGCATAGAGGTTTAAGCACAGTGTAGCCACAGAACACTAGGCTGTGTACATTGGGGATAATTCCCATCTGTTTCACATGCTGAGTGATGTACTGCTTTTTAGTTATATGGGTTACCTCTCAGTAGAAACTGTCTACTCACTGTAATTTGAGTACATTCATATGGCAATCATGGGAAATAAATATCAGTCTATGTGACAACAGGTAAGTCATTCTTCACATCAGCTTTTCAGAAGTGTCTCTCTCTGCTCAGTCCTCTATTTTCAATTTAAATTCCACTTTGCCTTCATAGGGGTCATGAACGTTATCAAAGGTAATCCCGGCTCCAATGATTTTGCACACTATCTTGACTTCTACATTCTTTGTAATGTTGAGAAATTTCACCGCTACCAAAGGATTACTGTAAGTGGGCTAGGAGGAAACAAACAAAAATTCTTTATCTTACCATTGCCAGTTTCAAAACCTTAAAATAGATCTTTCTTCCAGTTCACATAACATGACAGGAAAGTTGCAGTCATTTCATTTTACACAAAGATTGTCACCATAGAACAGTTTGGGTTGGAAGGGAGCTCACAGCCCAGCCATCCCCAACCCCTGCCATGGGCAGGGCTGCCCCCCACCAGCTCAGGCTGCCCAGGGCCCCATTCAACCTGGCCTTGAGCACCTGCAGGGATGGGGCACCACAGCTTCTCTGGGCAGCTGTGCCAGCATCTCGCTGCCCTCTGAGTAATGAATTCCTGTCTAACATCTAACCTGAATTTCTCCTGTTTCACCTTAAAACCATTCCGCCTTGTCCCATCACTATCTGAAGGAGATGAAGAAAATTAAAACTGAAATATGTGGCACCCACCTGTGCCTTCTTTCCATAGTAGGGGAAGTAGTGCAGGTTGAAGGTGCCATTCACCGGGTAGTATTCTACCTCCAGCGGGCGGGACTCGTCACCCTGTTGTAATGTAAGAGAGATTTGTTGGCTGCCCCCCTGCAAATATTCCTTGCTGTTGCTCAAGTACAGCGATCTGTTCAGAGCCAATCTTCAAATAAAAGTGGAAATATCCTGCTGCTATTGTTGCCAAGAAAAACAGATCTGCTGACAGTTGCAGAAAGCTTTGAAGAGTTGCTCTGATTCATAAACCTTGCTACTGGGAGAGCAAAACAAATTGCTTTTTTGTTTGGTTGCTTTTTGGTTCTTAGGCTGCTTGGCTGTCAGAGCTGTGTTGCTCAAAGCCTTTCAGTGCAGCCCTCACACACTTACTACGTAGGTGCAGTCCACTCTCGGTGCTGTGCCGTTGCCAGGATAAAATTTGATAATCTGAAATAGAAAGCACACATTGAGTCATTTTGGTGATGGTTTTGAGACAAAAGGGAGCAAAGGATGAACTGAGCTTTAGATGCTGCTGAATGTGTTCCTGCATAAGGCCCCATCAGTCAGACTGCCTCACTAAGGTAGTGGGGGGGATATTGCCTGGGAGGTGCTCAGAAAGCAGCACTGTGAATGTCCTTCTAGGAAGCTTCTGCTTTGGCTGAAGCTCTAGGACCCATTTGGTCCCACACAGTAGTAGGCTGACTTCCTGCAGCAGCAAAGGCAGAAGGAACTGAAGTCCCCAGGGCCCTCTTAACTGCCTTTCTCTCTACCCTGCATGCATCCTTGCTGAGGAAAACAAAGAACTTCCTCAGGAAACACCTCTAATTTTGCCTGCAAACATTAGGTGCATGGTTCTGCCCTCACAGGTGGATCTCATTTTTGGGTTCCCAAAAATATTCAGTGCCCAAGCCTAGGGTGTGAGCCAAACCAAAAATGAAGGGATTTTGTCTATCAGGAACTGACAAATACAAACTCTTCATTTTGTACTGAAATTAAACTATAAACCTCAGCATTTTACCTGAAATGTTTGTTCATTCAAAGGTTTTCTTTGCAGGCTGGAGAAATGGAATGTGCAAGAAGCACATTGCTGAAGTCACTTTACCTGAAGCCCTATCTTAACGCTTTAACAGCAAGGTCTCAGTACTACAAAAAAGAAGCTTTTACATAATAGTTTTTCAGACAGCAGCACTACAGAGATATTAACAAAAGTGCCCCAAAGCTTCAGAGATTCTGTTCATGTTACTCTCCTAGGGATGGTGACAAAGTCCCACTGCTTCTCTGGTCACTCTTGGGAAAAGCGGAGTGAATTGTCTGCACACTGCAAAGCAGAGTTGAGCTCCCCAGCTGAGAATCACGAGACCCAGTGTTTCCTGACTAATTCCTCACTGCTCTGCAGCCTGACATTGCACTTACCCTGTTCATCTTTACAATAAAGCAAGGTTTTCCTTCTGGAAATCCAAAAGTAGGATCTGTGATGCCAGAGCAGTTTTGAAGCATATCTGATGTAAACTTGCAGGACAGTTTTGTGTTATTTGGACCATCAAAGGTGTTCTGGATGAAGTATGTGTTGCTTGTGCAGTTGATGTTCAGATGCTGAGCAGCTGGGCTATATGCTGGGTTTGTGAAAGAAAAAAGAAAATTCCTCTGTGAAGCCTCTCATAGAGAAGTTATGCATCTGGGAGATTTAGACTGGATATAAGGAAGTAGAATTTTACAGTAAGGGCTGTGAGGCACAGGTTGCATGGAGAGGTGGTGGATTCCCCATTCCTGGAGACACTCGAGGTCAGGCTGGATGGGGCCCTGAGCACGCTGATCCAGCTGTACCTGTCCCTGTTCACTGCAGAGGAGTTGGATGGATGGCCTTTAAGGAACCTAAACCTTCGAAAGGCAAATGGGATCCTGGGCTCCATCAGGAGAGGGGTGGTCAGCAGGGAGAGGGAGGTGATTATCCCTCTCTACTCGGCTCTTGTGAGGCCCCACCTGGAGTACTGTGTCCAGGTGTGGAGCCCTCAGTACAAGAAAGACATAGAGATCTTGGAAAGGGTCCAGAGGAGGGCGACTAAGATGATCAGGGGGCTGGAGCACCTCCCCTATGAGGACAGGCTGAGGGAGTTGGGCTTGTTCAGCCTGGAGAAGAGAAGGCTGCGGGGTGACCTCATTGCAGCCTATCAATACCTGAAGGGAACCTACACCCAGGAGGGGAGTAAACTCTTCAGAAGGGCTGACAACAGCAGGACTAGGGGAAATGGATCCAAGTTGAAGGAGGAAAGATTTAGGTTGGATGTTAGGGGGAAGTTCTTCACAAGGAGAGTAGTTAGGCCCTGGAACGGGCTGCCCAGGGAGGTTGTGGATGCCCCGTCCTTGGACGTGTTCAAGGCCAGGTTGGACGGGGTCCTGGGCAACCTGATCTGAATGTGTACGTTTGGTGGCCCTGCTAGGCAGGGGGGTTGGAACTACATGATCCTTGAGGTCCCTTCCAACCCGGGTGATTCTGTGATTCTGTGATTCTGTAAACGATTCTCTGATTCTATCTCAACATCAGGTTGTATATTCTATGATGGGAGATTGTACTTCAAGTGAAATCGGGATTAGATGGAACAAGGAAAGTTTAATTCTTTTTTTTTTTTTTTTTTTAAGAATATCCAGGAGAGAAAAATAAAAAATTGCATTAAGGCTGGCAATTTGTGTTGCCAGCTCCAGAAAAAGGCAATTTCAAATACGATTTTTCTCAATGCATGTATGAGAAACAGAAATGTGATAATAAGGCTTACAAGGAATATAAATATATTGAACTATGAACATAAATGGAGCACCCAACCTATTTTGGCTGTGCTCTTTGATGACAGTATGTGCTGGCTCCACAGGACTTGCTATGGCACTTTGATATTTGCAGTCACAAATACGATTAGATTAATTTAGACAGTAGTTCTATAGATCTTTCTCTTCCCATTTCTTTACTCTCTGATAGCCTCTTTTATTAAAGCTAAAAAAAAAAAAAAGAGCGATGAAGCTGGGCTCTGCTTTTAATATACACGTTTACATATGTTTGATTTATAGATTCACGAAGTGATTTGCTCCTGCTTTTCAGAAAAAATGCATTTCCCACTCAAAATCTCTGATTTCAGACGGACAAACAGAAAATGAAAAACCTGAAGGTTCTCAGCTGTAGTAAGGAAAAGGTGACAGAGCATTTATTCAGGTGACCTTATTGTCCTTCTTACCTGTCAGAAACGTCTGGAGCATTGTCACCAGCCCCTCCCAGGTCTTGTTGTCAGATGCGTTGTAGTAGATTTGTAGCCCTCTGTGCCCATACACGTCTGGTCGTAATGTTACACCTTCAAGAGGGGAAGGCAAAGCAGAAGAGAGGTGCTGTTATCAGAGCAGATCACAAAATAATCCCAATGACTGCAGTGGATTTCCCCAGGACTTGTTAAACACAGCATTTACAATAAGGAAATGGGCTGTCCTGCCAGGTGATAAACAGCTCTTGAAAACGCTGTGCTTAATATTACAGAGAAATGATATTGTCAGCAAACATCAAACTAAGAGAATACTGAGAAAGAAAACTTCCAAGTACAGCAGGCATGCAATAAAAAAATAAATAAACAAATAAATAAAGGCAATTTCTTTGAAAAAATAGTAAAAAGGGACTTGGGGGCTGAAGTTCTAGCGATAGGCTCTGGTGATCTCCTGTTAATTCTGTCTTGTCCCTCTCCATCCTCACATCATGTCCCACAAACCCTGATTCCTCATTCCATGTCTCTTTGCCTAATTTTATGCCTTTATTTAACGGGCTGCTGGCAAGGCTCATTAAAATATTTAACATTTGTTAATTGCTTTCAGGCTGAGGTTGAAAGGGATGGTTAAGGTAGTTGCTGTACCTGGGGACTTGAGCTGGTCTTGGTAATCTGGCTCGTAGGGATTCACCGTCCTCATTAGGGAGTATATGGAGAGGGCAAAGATCCCAGTCATCACCACGTAGAAGGCCAGGTAGTACAGGCTGATCCACACTGAGGGAAAAGGAGGGGAAGGGTCTTCGAGCTCATGCTGTGTGAACACTGCAGCTAATGGCATCATGTCAGCAAGAAGTGAACGAGCCTGGCGTTGCTGGCACTTGGGTTGTTTAAAGCTTGAAGGAGGAGCAGCTTCCCACATTAAGGCCATTCAACTGCTTATTACACGCAGACTGAGCAAAAGACCCAATAGATTTCATTGACAAAAGCAAGCTGCTGCTCGTATTGCTTGCACCGTGGAGCTCAGTGTTCTGGGCATGCTTGCTTTAAATCCATATCTCACCTCCAGCAAAATGCACCGTGTTGCTATTTCATTATGGGGTGAGATTCAGAATAATGCTGGTTTTGGTGCATATATGCAGAATGTATACACAATCAGAAAGGATTAGGTTTCCTTTTTGTTTATAGGAATGGCTAATAGGCTACAGTTACACGTTTCCCATCAGAAGAAAACCTTCTGGAAGCTTGTAGCTACACTTACGACTTGCAGGAAGTGCAGGGACTCTCTAAAATATTCCAAGCTGCAGTTCCCAGAACACAGATCATCAGATCATCAAACACATTGTTGTGGCAGACATAAGCTTGGCTACAAACAGGAAGCCTCAGCTGAAACAGGCATTAGTTCAACGGTAAAAGAGATTTACTCAACATGCAGTAATTTAAAAAGGAAATTCAGAAAAGCAAAACGTGGTTCCAGAGAATTGGACAGAAAATATTTTCCCACACCTCCCCAGCTAGCTGTAGAGTAGAGATCATCAGTGCAGGTCTGCAGCACAGTGCTGCCATTGCTTGGCCCCATCAGCCTGGCATCTGCAGGGCTGAACAACACCAGTGTAGCAGCAAGGCCAAATTCCCCTGCAGCAGAAGCCCTTATAGACAGCAATGTCAGCATCATGTTATAGTCATAACACTTAGCTATTAATAGGATGTTAACATGTCTATTGCTTATAACACTCTCCTTGTCTATAGCAAGGGAGTTGGAACTAGATGATCTTAAAGGTCCCTTCTAACCCAAACCACTCTATGATTCTATATGTCCAGTGTTGTCCTTAACAAATATTTGGGCCAGAAATGCTTTAGAATATTTGCAGGAGCTTCTTGGATCAATGTTTCGACCTAATTGGCTGTATTCAGAGAGCAGGGATATTGTAAGAGGATCAGGAGCACATCCAAAAATCGAGGTTATAAAAAATTCCATCCTTCCATTACCTCCCATTCATCAGAACAACACCCATCCCTTCAAGATTTTTAAGGGTGTCAGAAAGGAAACCCTTGTGCACAGAAACATACCCCAGTTAATCAAGGTCCTTCCCATAAACAGCTTCGTTTCTGGATTCCAGACAAAACGGCGGAAATTTTCCATCCGTTCACTGCAGGTCTTCTTTTCATTTAAAGTTGCCATTTTGCCACAGAATTTCCCCCAAAAGCGTCTTCTTCAGAAATGAAGAAATTCAACAGGGACTCAAAGAGTTGCCCAAGCAAATTGCTTTGGTTTTTATACTTTCCCCTCCACTGAAGGTCAAGGAGATCACTGCCTATACCAACAAAAGCCCCTACACTGATTACTGGCCCGCAGCAGATGCAGTGCTTTATAGGTAGTGCTGATAACGCTCAGTGCTGAGGCTGGCAAAGGAAAGTCAGCTCCTATCAAATGCCCTTCCCAGGTAAACTGCCCCAAAGAGATTGACAGGATTACGCACTTCGCAGAGTGCCTTAGGGCTTGTGATATGCTCAGTGTGATAGTGGTTATCTAAACAGATAAGGAGAACCTTTTCTCTCTCTTTTTTTTTTTTTTTAATTTATATTTTTCCCTTCCTTCCTTCCTCTCTTCCTCTTTCTTTCCTTCTTTCTTTCCAGTTAACCTGCAAATACTGATTGCAATACTCCCATTACAACCTATGGGCAGAGGGATGGGATTTCATCCTCTTTTTTAAACACTGGCATGCCCTGCCATTCACTATGGTGGCAAAGTCATTAAAATGGGAACATCTGACAAGATTAACTGGCAGGCTTTTGGTTATCTGGACATTGAGACAGCTGTAGTTGAGCCCTGTGACATGGCAGGGGTTTCTGCCAGCTAAATAATGCTGAATTTCTAAGAAGCAATACAGATTTATATTGCTTTTCTGCCTCAGGTCAGGCAGCATGATGTTTTATTGTAAGAGCCACCGATCTGGGGTGATTTTACCTGTTTTCAGATGATAAAATAGGAACCAGGCTAAGTGAAACAAAATTAAGATTTACAGACATTCTACCAGTTTGTATGCCCCATGGAAAGAGGAGGATGAACAAAAAGACGGCAAAGCCAAGCCCGCCTGCATTCAGGAGTTTGTGTTACACTGTATGGGAAGCTGGCAGTACACTTCATGAGCCCCAGGCCAAGGATTTCATGTGGTCATGTAGTCATCTTCTCTCGTGTTATATCTCATTTGTCTATCTATACCTGTTGCTGCATACAACTTGGGAACCCCAAGATCTGAGGAGCACAGGTGCAGTGCAGAGCATGACTGAGGCTGAGAAATGTGGATGGCAGGAAATGGCCTTAGGCCTTGAAAACTGCAAATGAAGATGTGCAGAAGTATCTACAAAAAGCAGTACCTACAATAAGAGGCAAGAATAAAGGGGAAAAATATTCCAGATGGAAATCTGCTCTGACTGGAAGCTCCAGAAATACAAATTACGTAAACACATTAACCACATTAATATAAGAGCATAAATAAAATTACCGCAAGTTAATTATATCCTTATTTTATAATGAGCCAAGTACATAATTCTAACATGAATAAATTAAATACGTAAATATATTAAGAACAATAAATGACAAATGTGTTTACACACGGAATCAGGAGTAGGAAAAACAAAACATCAAAGTCCTATGAGAGCAGGTGGTTAAATTAACGTGGTTTCTCTCTTCAGTATTTGGAATCGTCAGTGAAAATGTAAGAAAAAGCAGGCAAAATATCTATAAAATCTTCAGTGGGGCTGTTGCTATGTGTCATGGATGCTCCTGACCAAGCAGACCCACATCACCTTCACCCCCTGTCCTCTTGCCAAGATGCAGCCAAGACCACGACAAGGGAGGCCCAGCCAAGGTCACAGCTTCTCTCTTGCCTGACTTCAGAATTATCCCAGTGGGAACCTGGAGATTTTCCACCTCTCTTCAGGCAAACTGACTCAGAGTTTGGTGCTTCCTGTGAAAGGCTGAGGGGAAATTTTGGAATGAAAAGATTTATAAAGACAGATTTTTCCTTGGAGGGTTTTTCCAGGCAATGTGTGAAATCTGCCTCCAGGGAGCTGGGACCTTACCTTAATTCATTAACTGATACCTTAATTTGCCCACCAAATTGTGCAGCCATATTTAGTGGATGAAAAGCTGGATATGGAAAGTTGTGATCAGAGGGCACTGGCATCTGCAGGTGGTGGTAAAAGAGCACCAAAAGCTGGGGTTGAGAAGCACCGGTGCCTACAGAGCTGAATTCAGAGCTATCACAGCTGTGTGGCGTAAATCAGTGTGGAGCTGTGACAAGTAAGGAAACCTCATGGAAAATTTGTGCATGTGAATGGGGATACGCACTGCCTGTCTGAAGAGGTTTATTAAGATAGGATGGAGATATGACTATTCCAAAGGCTCTGTTCAAAAGCTCCCAGCCACTGCTGGGACCGTTTGTCAGGACATTTGTCACCAACCAGTGGACATCTCTCCATGTCTCCATGAAGGGCTTGTTGGTCTAAGTAGCTGCTTGTTGTAGCCCATTAGGATTCAATTCATGCCCATTTTCCTCATCCAGTGCTGGCCCTGCAGCCACCTCTGGTCTCTTTATTCTGCCCAAATCCTGCAGCATTTTGGCCTTTGGTTGCAAGGCCATGGGCATGTGGGCATGCACACACACTGCATTCAGAGAGCAGCAAGGTACTTCATGTACTCAGGGCTTCATGAACTGGGACCAATGTTTGCTTTCCCCTGCTGGTATTTAATGTCTGCATCTCCGACCTTGGGCTGGCTGTTCAACTGAAGGACAGCCAAGCGGCAGGGTCACACAGGAGCATGGGACAGAACTGGAGACCACGGCCCTGCTACCCCTTCCAGCAGGCAGCAGCATTAGCACCAGTTTTGCAGTTTTAACGATTGCTTCTGGTTGCCCTGCTCAGGGCAGGGGGGGGCGCTGTGTGCATTTTCCTTCTGCTGTTGACCTCACTGTGTGCAAGGCAGAGCCTGGCCTCAGGGTGGCCCATGTTCTTCAGAAGAGTAATGGAGAGCATATTCAGGAGAGCTGTGCTGCTGTGATCAGAAGTAGCTGAATGCATACCTGCAAAGGGAATTAGTACACTTTGTAAGCTTGAGTATGAGCTTTACATGTAATTTAGCCTCTTTTGGAGCACCATGCCTGTAAGTTTTGCTCTAGCCTGAAATGCTGTCCTTCTGAGATATTCTCCTCGGTAGAAGTGGATGACGGCACACCTTGCACAGCGGTGGCTCACCCTGCTGTATAATGCTCACTGCAATGAGCTGCTGGAGTTGCTGCACGGTACTGAATGGGAGCTCAGTGTCAATGTTAGTAAAACATTAAACATTATTCACTTGTGATAAGGGCAGGCAAGGAGGGAAATCTGTCCTAGTGGTGGGTCCTGGGCGGAAGCATCTGCTGTGCTGCCACCTTCTATGTGTGGAGGTCACCTCAGGGGTGATGGGAGAGCTGGTGTTTGGGGGTCATATCCACTGGCAGAAATGAGCTTTGCATCTTTCTCTTTGATTAATGGCTGTTTTCCATATTAAACGGTCAGGAGTTGGTCAGGCTTGCTGTGCCTTTCTAGTGGAGAGAGTAAAGAGAATTTTATATTCCTCTTATTTGCTTTTCTCCCATATTTTCATAGAATCATAGAATGGCTTGGGTTGGAAGTGACCTCAAAGATCATCAAGCTCCAACACCATTGCCACAAGCAATTTTGCAAGTTGACAAGACAAAGGTGTTGGCATTTTTAAAATTTGAGGACAACAATTCTACATTTGAGAATAAAGGCATCAAATTGGCAGCCTGAGGAACTCAGGGCAAGAAAACAGTGAAAATATCTTTGAGCTGAACTGTGCTGATGTTTCTAGCCTCAGGGCAATTGATAAAAGCAAGGAGGTTTAGGTGAAAGTGTGGGTTTATGATAGCAACATGACCAGGGCTGTGGAAAGTGCAAAGCAGATTCTCTTCAGGTCTGACCCACCACTTACTGGGGTTTTCCAGAGGACCTTGGCTGGCCTCTGCTTTTCTGCCCTGCTCTTTGTCTCAGGGCTGCTAACGTGGCCCCATCATGAGCCCAGCCATCTCCCTTCATTTTCATTCTGCCCCCAGCAACTAAAGGAAACTAGTGCTAAACTGAGCGCAAAAATAAATACCAAAACTCAGTGATGTTCCTTTCAGACGGACAGTCAGTGAGTCAAAAGCTTGGCATTGTGGGGTGGCATACTACTCCTTGCAGTGTCTTTTGCATGATGGAGAGAGTAATGAGGTCCTTGGGAACACTAAGCATCCCACAAAACATCTCCAGCAGTTCTGGCCTCATTAACTTTTGCCAAAGGGATTTTTCCATCTGCACAGATTGTCCTATGGTGTTCATGAGGTGTTGCAAGGAAACAAGCCGCATTACCAGCCAGTGCCCCTGCAGAGCTGCTCCCTGCCTCTGTTATGCACAAAGTCTTGTTCATGTCAAACAAAGAACTTACATTTGGTATAATTACTATCTTGGGAGTATAATCACTATTGTTTCAAGTCAGTTACAAACAAGAAAGGATAATGGTGTAGCTAAAGCTGCACACACGCTTTTTAAACTACTCCCAATATTGTAGAATCATAGAATTCTTAAGGCTGGAAGAGCCCTCTAAGATCATCTAGTCCAAACATCCATCTACCACTAGTGTTTGCCCACTAAGCCACATCTCTCAGTACCCCATCTAAATGTTTTTGATTACCTCCAGGAATGATGACTTCACCACCTCCCTGGGTGCTGGAGCCCAGTCCAGCATCTGACCACTTTTTTGGAGAAGATATTTTCCCTAATATCCATCCTGAACCTCCCCTGCACAATTTGAGGCCAATTCCCCTTGTCCTATCACTCTCCTCCCCTTACTCCTTGAGGTCCTAAGATTGGTAGCAGCTTACTGTGGTTAGGGTGAGCTGTGGGCACCCAGAGCTATGTGATGTCCATGTTGACATCTTCTTGGGCCTCAAAACAATTTGTATGAAGTCATGAATACACCTGCGAGCATGCTTTGCACCTTGCTCTCTCTCCACAGCATCCCCTTACTCCCCGGGTTGGTGTGTGTGTGTGTCACCCTGAGGGAGAGATTCTCCCAAAGGAAACACTGCCTTTCATTTCTATGTATTTATTTACTTGCCACACAAAACCAGAGCTCGGCAGGGCTGGAGCTCCCGCAGGGCCACGAGCCCGGGCAAGGTCTCCTGCCTGCCCACTGCAGGACCCCGGCGGCACGGCGGGCGGCAGCAGCGCGCAGCGCACAGCCGGCTCGGCACCGCGCCCGACCCGCCCGGCCCCCGCCTCT